TACATACATACATACATACATACATACATATGTACATACATACATAAAACTTAATTCATAATCTTAATGACCCGAAAGAATATGGTTTGCCCTATCAATAACATAAATAGGAGTGAATTTTAGTGTAAAAAAATTTAGGTTTTTTTAGAAGTGAAGCCTTACCCTGCAGACAAAGTCGTTGATCGCAATACATATCAAATATTTGGCGCTTCGGATATTTTCGGCCAACTGATACTTCTCTGCTAGCCGTTTCATAGATTCATGACGTTTACGGTACTTCGAGTCGTTGAATTTGATTATTCCACCGAGAGCCTGGAATGTAAAGATTGGCCGTTGAAGCTGAGTTTGGATAGGGTCAATCATGAACACCAACTTTCCGAAAATTGGTCTGCCCTGTCATATTGCGATAGCGTTGGAGAAAGCATGCTCTCCTACGAAGAGACTGTACCATCGACTCATTTTGTTATATGAATGGGCAATATCACATGTCAGCCCCCTCCCTCTTCCACTTTGACAAAGGTAAGTGAACAGTTATATTTGTTGATTTGTAGTTGTATCAGTTTCCCGCGGTACATTGCTTCACTTACGATTAGATCGATTTTTTCTCGACACTTTCTGCTGTAAGACTCAAAGTTCGTATAATCGCAATAAACTACTTCTTGCCCTCTTTTTGACTCGATTCGAACATCGACCACAAAAGAGGACTCGATTAAAAATTGTTATGATGAGAACCCTGGCTCTGCATAGACTCGACTGTCCGAATACCCATTTTTATGACCTCGAACAACCCTTGGAATGCGTTTGTTTGAGGAAACCTTACATTTTCTCATGTCTCCAGAACTCTCATATTCTGCGCCATTGGCGCACTCGAGCATGAAATTTCGTTTATCTTACAACCAATGCATTTATATGCTATGGAAAAAATTTTTCATGAGAATGGCTGAAAAAGGACATGGCAAAGCACTAACAGAGTTTATGATGATTTGTAAGGCTGACTAGTAAGGCTGACTAGATCAGGCTACTAGACGTTGTAGTAGAGACATGATCTAATGGTCATTTCTTACAAAGCTAAATCAGTGCAAACGATTCAAATAGACATTTTAGAAGGTATTTAATTGTTCTTTCCTGTAATTTTGGCCTGTAATTTTGGAGAAGGGAGGGGGGGGGGGTTACCTGATATGATTTATACAATACCCTTCTACACGTCTGAAGGCTATGGTGGGTCGATTTTTGAAATGTTGTTGGATGAAAATTAATCGCAAATATTTTCGGCTACCAGGTTCTCGTGAAAGCGACGATTGTAGAGCGCTTGTAGGATGAAAGTTACCATATTTCGATCAAGGTCCTTGAAAGGTCTAATACATGGAACCTGGCCAATCCGACAATGGCTTCTGAGACAGTACGCCTTAAAGCACATTAAGTCAGAAAAGCAATCTTGCTTTGATCGCATCAAGCATAACAGTTGTTTTCATTCGCTTCTTCCCTGTACCAGTAGTATTTCAAACTCGTCAATCAGCGATCTGAGTTAGAAAGTGTGACAAAACGCTATTCAAGGTAGATTGAAGTATTTGAAGGTTTTAGGAAAACTCACAATAACACAGAGAATTACAACAACAGTATTCACGGCAATCACGTAGATGTCCAGATCGCATGCTGGAATTGTTCGATAAATCGATGATGCAAAATCGCTGCAAGATTCTGAGACATGCAAAAATTTAAAGATTATTCAAAAGTTCAGGGCAGAGGTAGACAGAAACGAAAAATTAGTACGGCGCTCGGCTCTTACAGTAATCCAACCCCAGGTTAATAAGCAAATCTTCACCCGTCACATATACGACGCGTCAAAAAGGGGCCTTGGGTAAAGATGCGCGGTTGGATGGTGTTGCCCAGGGGGTTACTGTGGGAGCAGAGTGCCCGGGGGACGGAACATCCACCCAGAACCGTACGGGCGCGGCAACCCGCGCGGAGGAATACGTGATAATTAAAACGACTCTAGCGAAGATCATTAGGGCCCAAATTTGAAGTGGGATAAATAAGCAGCATCAGCTGGCCCTACTTATCCAATCCACTTGAAACCCGTGCCCCAATGATAGACGCCAGAGCCGTTTTAACCACCACGATTTTCGCCGCGCGGTTTGCTGCATCCATCCAGTTCCGGGTGAATGAACCCATACCCGAGTGCCCGTACTGGATTCTCGTTTCTGTCAGAGGTAGTGTGTAGCGGCACATGGCGCATTACCAGTGACGGCACTTGGTGCCTAAACGTAAAGAAGCCTGACCCTCTACTCTGAATGCGCCCGGTGACGTATTGGATGCGAATTGTATGAGCAGTAATTTGCTGAAGCCATCTCATGGGTATACCTGCATTAATCCTCCGAGAAGGGCCTGGGGCCGATTAGCCGACCCCGGAAGGATGGAGGGTTTCTTATTTAACATTTTTGCAAATCAGACATTTAAATCAATTGTTTTACGGTAATTAAAAGCATCTACTTTTGTTATGCTCTTGAACTCACTTTGGCAATAGCGATACATACACATGAGTGATACGGTTAGCAGAACCTGAAAAAAGACTAATTTTTTTGGCAATACGAAAAGAAGTTTTCTGTTTAGACGATCTCGAAAGAGCGGTTTGGGTAGAGCCACTCAAAATGGCTAGCCTTTCGAGGAACATCACTGATCTCACTACCAGATCTTCTAAAGCAGAAGTAGGTAATATTCCATCTCGTCAAATTACCCTATCACTCAGAGGAAAATCAAGTTTGCCCCGTTTGAATATGACCCATATAAAAATGAAAAGTAATTATCTTCGAAGAAAAAAAAAGTAAATTACATTTATGCAGCAGAGCAGTACGCCAATGGTGCACGCAGCGTAACGGATTTCGTAAACTCCAGAGAATATTGTAGCAATAGCTCTTTCCACAACTGCAAATAACCAGCCAAACATGGCAAAATCAGCGCCGGTCATCAGGAATCGTGACAGATCAAGCTAAAAAGATAAAGTAAATTCAGCTTTGCTGATGTTCAAAACGGTGTTTGATCATTTTATTATCATCTCTGCAAGAAACTGCATATTAGTTGTTCCAGCAATAGCGCTAGACCGATCTAGGAATGAGAATCCAGGAGTACTGCTGTCCTACTTAATTGCATTGAGCTTGGAAAAAATACTCAAGTAGGTGGAAGATGAAGGTAGTTTTGGTGCATACTTTGAGCTTTTCTATGCCTTAATCGTATCGCGTTGGACATTTTAAATGCCTTTTTACTGACCGTGATTTATTGTATTATAAGAGTAAACTTGGCTTTGATCAAAGGCACAGTTCACGATGAAAATGTGTACTGAGTTTTTCCCTTAGGAATACTCAGTGGCCCCCATGGGTGGCAGAAGGGTTCCTCTCGTTCCCAAAATTTCGACGGTCAGGCCATGGTGGAAGCCCTGTTGCTGTCTTAAGTCGCTCTCCCGCCTCTCGATCGATGTCACGTCAGACGAGTGTCGAGGCAATACAGATTGCGAATATTCGTTCTAGGACCCACACACAATCAGCCGATCGCCGAGTGTTGAGGCGATTTTTTCTATCATTCCTTTTTCCTTTATTATTCATTTTTGCTGCCGCGATCCCTTTTTTAATTTCCCTTCCCAAGAAGCTGAGAAAGGTGAACTATTTTTGCTGTAACTAGGCTTTTTTGTTTACTTATGCTTATAAGTGGATGAATTTTTGCTTACCGTAGTCAGATATTTGCACCTGGTC